TAAAAATAACGGCGCGCTGTAAATTTTTTTTTACCGCAAATTTGAAGGCCGACCGTAGATTTCTACGGTCCCCGTTTAAATTTATCGTAAACCAGATTTACAGTGCACCGTTATTTTTACTGTACACGTTTGGCAGCATCAGCTGCCTGGTATTTGACCGTAAATTTTACGGTCAAATTTACAGTCAGGACGCTGCAGTGTAGCGTCCTGACTGGTGCCCCATACGAGCAGGCACGTGTGGCGTGCACGTGAATATAGCTTTGGTAGGCTTGCAATTGCACGTGATTTTCCGCACGAGCAGAGACATTGCGTTGGCCAGATGCCCAGCTTTCTGAGGCTATGCAGTCAAAAGTATGGGAGCGTGTGCCTTGGTGTGCATAGCCACAGAAAGTTCAAAGAGTTCATCGCCAACAGATAAACCGATACAAAAGCTCTCAAGATCTATATTATGTTATCAGAGTTTAGTAAAAACGATAACCCCACAAAAAATATAAACACTCCCCCCCCCCCCCCCCCCCCCCCCGTTTTACGCCGAGGAACCGCCCCCCCCAAAATGAAGGTCTGGATCCGCCCCTGCTTGCTGCAGGATTTGCAGGGATACTGTTTTCCCCAGTGAACCTACGACGCCACTCCGAGACCCTTTTCCAAAGGCGCGCCATCTGAGAGCTGCTGCATCACTTATCCGAGTCGTCCATTGTTTGGGCACGTACTCTGAGCCTGCATTGAACACGAGGGTTGCGTCAGCCTTCGGTGGGGGCTCGGATCCAATCAGACGCTTTTTGACCAAGAAATGGCGACCACCAGTGTTGCTGATGGACTTTTGAAAAGGGTCTGCTCAGTCAGCCGCGTGTGTGTGACGTGTAAAAGATAATATATATATATATATATATATACTATCTAACGTAGGAAGCGTTTAGTAATAGACTGAGAGGGTCACGTGATCGACTGAGATAATCGCCTTGAGGTGCACCGTTAGATGGTGCGAAGTTTACACTAACCTGCGTAAAATAAATAAATAAAGGGTGTCGGAAACTCACAACAACACAAAAGTCCGCAACTTTTTTTTTTTTATTTATTAATTGTGGTGCGTACAATGCAGCGGTGTTGTGGAGCTGCAAAAAAATCTACCTCCGTCAAAACACAAAAAAAAAAAAAAACTCCCAAACACACACCGATTATTTAAAAAAAAAACAAAAAAAAACGAACCATTTAAGTAATAAAGATATGTCTAATGTGCCGGGAAATCTCAGAAAAATAACATCGAAAAGTTTTGTCGTGTTACGCGTTCGTTTCTTTTGTGCGTGTGTTTGTGTTCTGGTGAATGTCCAGATCCAATTTGAAATTGACACTGTTTTTTTTCTTTGGGGCTTTAAACCTTTATGAGAGGGGGATGGGGCCGGGGGCAGGGAGCCCGGGGGGAGGGGGAGGGGGGGGGGGGGATTCGACAATCTGTTTTTGGAACTGCTCAAAAGGGAGCCGCAGTCTAAGAGTTCCATTATCCCGAAATAGTTTCTAGCGTTAAGAGGTAGTTTTCGCTCACCTGTCTCCTCCTCGTAAAGAAGCAGATCCGTAATACACTATAAGTGTTATTAAAAAGAAATTAAGCTTAGCAGTTTTAAGATTCCGGGGCATCTGGAGAAAATAGGCAAATTATCTTCGCCGAAATGTTCGCTTCCTTTGCTTGAAGCGGTGATGTTTACATAAAAATATTACATCCTGCTTTACTTTTTTTTTTAAATCATTTTTCGTGGAGGTCACGAACGAATTCTCAGCTGTAGTATATTTTTCTTGAGCCATCTACTCCGTAGCGTATCCTGTTGTTTGCCCTTTTAGCCAACAAAAGATACCTCTTAGTTACGTATAAAATTTTCGCGAAGCTTGAGTGATGTTCTTATTTATGTGTTTAGTTAAAGGGAAGATGCAACGATTTTCGTACTTTGCGCAAATACTGCTTAGAACGGATGCCTGACATTAATGTCATGCAAAACACTCGTTCATTTTTCATCACACGCCACCTAAGTCGCAAAAAAAAAAAAATTAAACAAAAACGAGCAGCGTGCACCCACTCGAGAGAGAGAGAGAGAAGTCTTGAAAAGAAAGGAAGCCTGGAAGCACTTCCTCAACTTGCAGCCAGAACAAGCGGCTACGTGATCTGGAGCCGATTGTATGCCGCCAATGTTGATCATAGCCGTGCGCTGGAGTTGGCAAGGCACGGGTCACGCGCTGAGTTCCAGACATTGTTATGGTTCGGCTATCGTCGTCGTTGCAGCGATTGGATACGGCGATTGGATGCGACTACCCGAATGCTCCTCGAGCTAGTAATTATCACGAGCCCGAATCGAGTGCACACGCAATGCTCGGGTCCAATCTATGAACCGCATTCAAATATCGTCATTGGGGTGTACTGCGATCCCCACGTTACGTCATCAAATTTTGCAAAGGAAAGATTGAATGAAAATGATCGCTTTTGTCCTTGAAATTACACAGCAACAAAGGAGTTTCTTGGCCAGTGGCGTTGCGTGCGAGTATCCTTGACTCCCAGTAGTGCCAGTAAGCTCGTGTAATGTGAAAAACATTCCAATTGAATATCGCTGCACCGCCCCTTTAAAGAGACCATGATCTTGGGTGTGAACTCTATACCGACTGAAAATTGTTTCGTGGGACAATACAAAAGCTAAGATTCAGCGGGGCTGGAAGCAGAATTGAGCGTTCCAATTGCACACGGCCTGTAATCTGAATCGCTTGTTTTATGTACCTCGATCGAGTGTAGGGTACGAACCCGAACGCTGCGTCGGCGCTCGGCTGCGACCTTACCGATTAAACGCGAATCCAAGCCGAAGGCTGATGCAGGGTTGGGCTACGTCCTCCTATTACTGCGCCAGAAACACACCAGCAATTTTCGTTTGTTTTCCGCACAACTGGGGCGCTAATCTACGCGGCTTGCATCGACGTCTCACCGGCGTCCATAGTGGTGTTTTTTTTTTCTGAGAATGGGGATCGGTGACCGAGCGTGCTCGCGCAGCGTAGCTCGGAGTGCGTATATTAGGGCGTTTTCGTAGATCGGTTCCGCCGTCCCGCAACGCTGTCCGCAACCAGCTACGTTAGCCGGAACTCTACAGCCAAGGCCATCGGCGCGCAGGCGCAGTGGTGGTTTCTTCGCAGCGGAGGGTTAGCGGTGGGGGAAGCACGGTCTCCTAAAACTCCCTATTGAGCGAAAGCTCGCGCTGCAGGACTTGCAGGGATCGTGGGCTCAATCCCGCGCCCCTGCCCGTTTCGATCTGGGTGAGCATCGTATCCACCGGCGTGCGGTCGTGTGTCACTTCTGCGTGGTGCACATTAATGGGACACTAGGGGAGCGGCTGTACGGCACCGACTGAATGTTTCGTCTATGCAGCTGAGAGACAAGTCGCCCATTGAGGCTGAATATATATCTACCGCCTGTCTAAACACACACACGGCACAAGTACTTGGTCGCTGAGTGCGTTGTGCGGCAGAGATTTCGCGTCATCATGCTTGTTTCTTTCTGCGAGAACAAGCGGGAACAACCACCAGCACAATTCGGCGATGACGCTCGCTAGCCGGTATTCGCGGTGAGCTATTTGTGTGTCGCCCCCTGGTGGAATTTGATCACAACCCAGAGTGAGCATACTTCAACTAGCTGTGCTGGTGCAAGCACGTGCGATGCCTGGCTTCTGTGAACTAGGATAATTAAAACATAACCGCGTGGGTAGCACGTGCGCTACCCACAGTGAGGAGAGCAGAAGCGCCCCTAGCGTATATTGGGCGACTATGACAGACCAGTACAGTGCAATCCACTTATAACGATAGCACACATAACGATGTACCGCTTATAACGATCCGTTTCTAGACGAAACGATTGGTTTCTAATCCTGATACAACGATAACCAGTGATAACGATTGACGTATCGGGTTTTCACATTATCGATAAAAGTGGATTGCACTGTACTCGAGTGTGTACACCAATACGCTGCTTACAAACAAGCTCGCTTTGCCCACGCCACCAGGTGGGGGCACTGCGCGTGCGCAGAAACCGAAATCGGGAGCAGCGAAGTGCCTGCGCATGCGCAGTGCCGATAGCAGCGCCACCGCAGTGATGTGACGTCAGAGTTGAGTTTTTCTATAGTCACCGGCAGCTTGAGAAACGCGGGGGCGTGGCTTATCGTCTTCACACGTTTCTTGCGCCGTGATTGGTTCTCTGGCGCTCTTATCAGCTGCAGCGTCGCAATCTGATTGGTTGCGAAGCGATAATCATGTGCTCCATCGACTCGCCACTTTAGATAAGAGATACGCTTCTGGATAACAAACCTTCAGCCATCTCGGGGCTCAAATTATAGAGCTGTAGGTTATTTTTTAAACGCTTATCTTATATTGCAAAAAAAAAAAAAAAAACCGCTGAGCCTTTAAAAAAAATGTTGGAACAGTTTTGCGCACAACGCGAAACGATATTTCCACAGCTTCCTGCCACCGTACATCTAAATTTCGGTAAGTCGAAGTTTCAAATGATGACCATCGCCAATTACGCCCGCTCTGCTCTGGGCACCGAAACGGTGGCGGCGACAAGATAATTGGAAAATAAAGTGTCGATACTCTAAGCGTTTAATTATAGGGGCTCCGTGCGGAGCGGACGACGAGGCCCACAATCGAGCCGACGAGACCGGGTTTGCGGCGCTTTCCACGCAAAATCGTATACGCAGGCCGTTTTTTTTATCTTTACTCCCCGTTTCATCCGTGCGAATTGTACAAAAAAACTGAAATGGAGAGACTCGGCACTTGCAGGCGATTGATCGTAGCCCGACTCGATCCGTGATGTCGCTTTGATGATTCCACAACTGTTTTCCGAGTAAACAAATGAGTGGACAGTATGACACTAGCTTCTCGGTCTGTATTTTCATCGGGGGTACTTCGAGCCGACGTCGATAACTGCCACGTGGGCAGTTATCGACTGCCCACGCGTGGAGGAGATTGGGTCGGTCGTCCTGTCAGCTTGGAGCCCCGAGGCGGGACCCCAGGTCAGCGTCTTCGAAACGGGATTTTCGCGCTCCGAGCCCCTGGCTGATCCAGGCGAAGTCCGGCTCGGCCATCATGTGAGGTCGGAGAGAGTCGGCGCGCAGCGGAGGGACGTAGCGTCGCCGTAGTCGCCGCTTCAGGGCTTCCACCAGGGGTCCTGGAAGCGAGATCTGCTCGGCGTACCTGAGAACGTCTTGGCGACTAAGGTACCTGGAGGACCAGAGAAGAGACGTTCAGCCTCTCGCAATCACGCAAGTTCCTGAGTGGACGCTGCACTGCGACGCGTTCGGAATATCGATATCACTAATATTCCTTCGATCTACTCAGCCAATAAGAGCGGAAGGTATCGCCCTTCGATGGTTATGAAGTCGCACTTCACAAAAAGGCATTAATTCTGTTTGCACCGAAGAGCGTGCGGCGGGGTACTGGGGGGCTATGTTGCACGTTTTGGACTCCTAGGAGACTAGGGAGAAGGAAGTGACGTCAACAGCGCTCTTTGGATGTTGATCAGTGGAGTCGCTGATGACGGCATCTGCTAAGATACGTTCATACACACCTACGTCACTTCCTTCTTCCTAGTCTCCTGAGAGTCCAAAACGTGCAACGTAGCGCCCCTGGTCGGTCGTCTCATGGGTCCAACTGATTCGAGGAAGGTCATTCTTCTGATTGACTGCACAGAATAAAAGAAAAACCCATGATTTGTCTTTCAAGCACATCGTGGTGCCAACGTTCATCGAGCTCGCTGGCTGACTCTCCTGAACCTTCACCAAAAAACCGATACATCGGGCAGCGGTTTTCGTGATAATCAAAACATCATGTCATCCTCATCTTGTATACACATATGACATAATCACCATCACTGGACGCGGCATCACGGGGCTCAATAATATTGGCTTTGCATGTCTGCGGTGCCACGGCTTTCCTGAGCCAATGAAGGTTACTATTACTATTACTGCTATATAAGGCACTCAGTAAGGCCCAAGAGTGTGGTTCCCACTCCAATGAAATATTAAAATAATATATGAATAAACGGTGGTGCTGACCTGTAGTGAAGCGCGTAGATTGCCTCAAAGGCGCAGAAGCGATGCGCCATGTTATCGTGGCACAGGTCTCGCACAGCCAGCGCCACCAGGCGGTCCAGCACAGACAGCAGGAGGTCCTCGGAAGTGAGCACGTACGCGATCAGCTGCATGTAGATCTCGACCACCTGACGAGCCTCGCAACGGCGCACCAACTGCGCAAGTGCGGACGACGTGAGTTCCGGTTCTGCGCGCAGCAGCTCCTGCAGAGACACCCTGGCCATGCAGAAGACAGCGGGCGACGGCGCGGCAACCAAGGTCCGCAGAAGAGAGCCCAGGAGGTGTTCCAGGTTGCACTGCTTGAGCCGGTGGCAGCGGCGGGCCACGGCACTCCTGACCACGTCGAGTGCGACGCGCACAACGTGCTCGTTGGAGCTGAAGAGATAGTTGTGGAGCACCAGGACCAGGTCATCGAGGAAGTCGTCCAGTTGGGCGAGCTTCGGCGCGTCGCACTTGAGCGACGCTAGGGCCACGACGCCGTCCGCTTCAGTGAAGTGGCGTAGGCTTTGGAGGACCTGGCTGGCTCTGCGACGCCGCCGGCGACGTTTCAGGACGACGGAGTCGAGGAGGCGTTCGTAGCGGCGACTGCACTGATCCATGGGCCGGGCCGTGGGTGGCCCACGGGCCGCGCTGTTACGCGGCTGCTGTTTCTTCGCAGGCTTCTTCCTCGCTGAGCTGGATGGTTGGCTCAGCTTTGCTTTGAGAGATTGTGGAAGCAGCATAATTTTTGTACGCAGTCTGCGTCCCATTCACTGCGTCTTTTGCGCAAAATGCAGTGAATGGGACGGTAGGGAACAAACAGCCAATCATCGTGGCTCGAATCTGACGCTAAGGAAAAGGGTATAATAAACCCCTTTCCCGTGAAGTGCGCTGTCAAAAGCGTTGCAAATAGGTGCACCCTCCTAACGTTGTCTTTCTTTGGATTAATTTTTATTTCATTTATTGAAATAAGATTAATATCAGACGATCAACTTTCATGGTGTTGGTTAGATAATGCAACGAATACCAGCTTACACTTTGCGCTTTACAACAACCATGACTTTTGTCATAGCCTCCTCTATACTCACAACGCCTGGCAGTTAGACGACGGAGCCATAGAGTGCCCGGTCGCAGATTTGGAGCGCGGAGGTCTGGGGGGGGCTATGTTGCACGTTTTGGACTCTCAGGAGATTAGGAAGAAGGAAGTAACGTCAACAACGCTCTTTGGATGTTGATTGGTGGAGTCGCTGATGACGCGTTGCGTGGTGCTGCTAAGATACGTTCATTCACACCTAGGTTACTTCCTTCTCCCTAGTCTCCTGGGAGTCAAAAACGTGCAACATAGCCCCCCTGGTAGCGCAGAGCATCAAAGAGCCATTTTTCGGGGAAGCTGGACGTCAGCGCACAGCTTTTGCAGCAGCGACGACCCGAAACACACTTTCGAGTCCTCGCGTCTCGCCGCAGCGGGTCGCCAGTCAAGTGGCTCTCCTCTCATCCGTTGTCTGCCGCTCCACCTTTTCCATTTCGGCGGCGGCTTGTCGTGGCTATCTGCCAGGCTTTGTCAGTATATGGGAGGCTATGCTCTTGTCTTTTTCAACTAATGATAAGCAGTCTGGGCCGACTCGCTAGAAACAGCGTCTCAGCTGAGACTGGGGAAAAAAAAGCGCTGCCAAAGCCAGCGCACGACCTGAGCAGCGTCTCGACTCAAGCGACTCAGCGACTCAAGCAGCGTCTCGAGACGCTCGCGTGTCTCGACTCAGCGACTCAATTGAGCAGCGTCTCGAGACGCTCGCGTGCCCCACCCTTTGCAAGAGCTTTCTTTCACCAATTCTCGGCTGAGATGCTGTTCTAGTAGTTCTAGCAAGCCGGCCCAGGATCACAACTCGTGAAGTGGACCCCAAACTGTGCTTGAATTGATATGAAAACATTTAGGCACTTCTTTTTTTTAACATTTTGATAGCAATATTGTATGCATGCGCAAAGGGGCGGCGAAGTATTGAGCATAGTAATCAGAGATAAACGATCTACTCAAACTTCCTATCTTAGTCTGCACCTCATGGAGTACAATTGCCTGTAGGCACAGCCTTTATCTAGGCACTTTAATTTAAGTAATATGTAGCGCCTTCCTGGGAAGCAGTATTTTTTTTTTACAAAACCTCGAAACTGAAAAAAAGAAAGAAAAAAAAAAAAGAAATGAAGGACGACACAACAGGCAAAGTCATTTGTTTTTTTTTTCTCGAGTCTCGGGGTTTCGTCTTAAAATATGTTCAACCATCCCCAGTTTGTTTCAGCCCTAACGTTTTGTTCATTGAAGCAGTATTCTTTACCATCCAGTCGCTTTTCAACTGTTATCGTATTTATCAGATAAGTCAATTGCAAATCGTCGTTACCTTTCTAACTGGCGTCCCTGTCAACATGTGTCTTGAAAGAGAGGGCATGCTAAAAGTTCATGCTGGGCAATATTTTTTTTATTCACCATAAACTAACAAATCAAGCCGCAAGATATTTTTTCTCACTTCGTGATGTTTTGCACAAAAGCATGTAGCAATTACTGCACCGCGGATCAGAAGCCCATATCAGAGAACAAATGTCACCCAGCTTCGTATCCTCCGATTGATGAGCTGGCTGGGCTAGCTTGTTTTGCTTAGCAGCGGAGCAAACTGGGCAGTGCTGGCACCGTGTGACGTGGGCGAGAGCACGCGGGGAACGTGCAACGTGCACCGGGGACTAGCCGGAACATTGGTGCCACGAGCAACACCACAGTTCCTCGACCACACGGATCGATGTCGCCATATAGGGTTCAAATGTCAAGCTTCTTTCAAGATGGCCGCTGTGGGACCTCAGCCTTAAAAGCGCGGATTGTTTAATCTAGGAAGCTCTTATTCAGCAACGCGTCTGACACTTACCGATGCAATTCTCCAACCACAATGACAATTTTACACAAGTTGCGACTCTTGGACCAAGCAAGTCGCCAAAAGTGTTTTTTTTTTTCTTTTTTTAAGCGGAATTTAATAAAAGTTTGGAAAATCACATCGCCGCGGAGAACTTTCTAGCACTGACCGTTTCGTATAGCGGCGCTATATCGAAAGCAGACTTGGACGTAGTTCAAGTACTCTACTCAAATTACTGTAGTTTAACTACTTTATCGAGTAACTTGGTAACTTTCAATTACAACTTGATTTGGGTAGTTAGTAGTTTAATTTAACTACTTTTTTCAGGTAACTTTTACTCAAATTACTAACTACTTTCGAAATTATATAGTGCTAATTTTGCCCATCACGAAAGTTTGAGCGCAGAAATGAATAAGACGCCGGCAGATGAAGTGGCATTCCCGAACAAGGGGCCCCCTTGTTCGGGAAGCCGTCCTCGGGGCAAGGTGGCGACGAGCAGCCAAAACATAACACCGGCACGCACGAACGCAGAAAGAGATGCTTAACAAGCCTTGGTCGGGTATTGACCTAATCCGGTAATGCACGCAGGCGCCGCGCCTCCAGGTGCAACCGCGAAAGACGGGGATACTCCGAGAGTTGTTGTTTTCGTGTTGTCTGTCTTTAGTGAATTCTGACTCAAGCGGTAGGTTCCACGGGAGGCGCCACTGGAATGACCTCGCAGCTGGGCGCCTGTTCCCATGGTCGCCTTGTCGTCAGCGCATACGCCTTTGCAAAGCCGGACTCCCCCGCGCGCAAACCCTGGTACGGATAATCCGTTCATGGGAGCACGTTCCCGCTTCCAGCTGCAACTGTATACGAGCGCCGATGCTTGTTCACGTAATCCTTCGCGTCCTTCCGACCATCCATGCCTGGAAGACCTCCTCTTTGTTAAAAACGATTTACTTGTCAGGCGTGTCAGGCGCGTCAGAATATTGTAGTCGCCGGTGAGGATTGCGAGTTTTACCCTTGGAAGACCCTTTTGTTGGACCCGGCGTCAGCGGCGAAGTATAGACCATTCCATTTAGCGCTCTCTGGGCGGCACCATTTTGTTCGACCGCAGCGCCCCCTCCACACATCCGGGAAGTTCAGCGGGTTCGGCGGGGTAAAACGAGAGAGAGGGCACGCCGCCGACTCCGCTAGCAGACGACAAACCGGTAGGTTGCCGTTCTCCATCTTTGGGCTGTATCGGCGGGCTCTACCGAACACCGAACTCTCGCTCGTGGCTGCCGTTGTGAAGTGGTTCGCGTTCTTAGAATAGTTGTGGCTACTCCAAAATCAGCCTATAGCTCTCTGTTGTTCTATTTTGCTAAATGATAAACTAGCATATCTTTTTTCCGTTACTTAAATAGCAGTTGAGTCAGCCGGCAGTACTACCCTCAACTACTGCGTGTATTGCGGCAGGAGAGCACGTTTTTATTTATTATTTCAGACTTCCACTCATGCTCGCTAAAGGCCTACACCAGCACGAACTTTTGTATAGTAAAAAAGGTACAGCAACCGGATTTTCTTTTCGCCAAAGAGACCGGCCAATCTGACATAGTTTTCCCTATTTTTGTTTTTTATTTGCACGCAGGTAACAGTGCAATTGGACCCTGTGAGTCTTTTTATCTAGCATAGTATTACACAATAACTGGCATGCCAAAATCTGCGCATCTGCACTTGAAAGTTCCAAAATGACGCGATTTTAAACAGAGTTTGCACGCCAGCCGGACGCTAGCTACAGCCCACTCGGCGGAGCGGACGGCTTGCGGGGGAGAGGGGGAGTGCATTTTTTTTTTCTCTTTTACCCTCTCTGCTATGACCCTAATGGAACGGTCTATACTTCGGTTCATCTTCTGTTAAACCAAAACAATTTTATTTTCAGTACCGTAGCACTAGCACTACAACGGGACGCGCAGTCGTCCGGATGATCTCATCGTCGTGGCGCGAGACTTGAACCCTTGACGGTCATGTGCACTCGCTCAGCGTACTCTCAGAACGACGTCGGAATAAAGAGGGGCTAGTCATTACAATTTCAACTTGACGAAGATAAAAGAAAAAAGGAGGAAAGTTTGCTACAAAACACCCTCTACCCTAGGCAAACCTCACATGTTTCGTCATGGACACCTAAGATGCCGACACTCGCTTACCCGACCCTGCACAGTCTGTTTCTCAAATTCAACGCTGCCGTTCCATCCAACCCGTCGGTGTAACGTCTTTTTAGCTTGGCTGGGGACGTCTTTAGAAGGAAAAGGGGAAAACTCTCCTATCAAGAACTTTGAAAGTCAATTGCTTCTGCGAGCGAATAAACTATTTTGGCGAAAACGCAAGCCATAGATAGACTGCCTTTATTTTAGGCTCGCAGGGTTTTTCATTGATCAAAACTGCTGTTCATTTTGCTACCACAAAAATATAAAAAAGTAATTTCGAAAGTAACTTCAAAGTAACTCGCTACTTTTTACAGTAGTTAGTAGTTTACTCAATTACTATTACAAGTGCGTAATTTCTACTCTACTCCAATTACTTTTGGCGTCGATACTCAGTAACTTAACTTAACTACCTTTTTTGAGTAATTTGTACATGTCTGATCGAAAGGCCAAAGACGAGACGGGGTATTAGGACTTTTCGTAGGTTGAACCCAAGGGCTTTGCGTTGCTATAGCGAGAGCTGGGGCCTTCCTTTTAAGCGCGGATTGAGCACTCGTCCGCAGG